TCCCGGGTGGGACAGCAGGGCGCGGGTACCGCATTGCAGGTGGACCGACAGCGCCCCGGGGCCCAACCCGGCATTGTCTGGGATGCTGCGGGGAGCAGGCCGGCCGGATCACCCCGCCGCGCACGTGCGTGGGGCCCCTTGGGGACGTGGGGAGACCCTCCCCGCCGCGCTGCCTGGTCGCCGTGCCGGTCACTTGCTGACGTAAGTACTCTACCTGGAAGCCCTTTCTTAACCGTGGGCTTGGGTGTTGGAAGGATTTGGTGTACTCTCAGCTCTGCTTTGTGATTCACGGAATCCGGGCTTGGTCTCTCAGCTCTGCAGCCCTGGTCCCGGGCGGCTCCAGTCTTAACTTTAGGGATTGGGGCGGACCTGTGCTGTTTAATCGCAAGCTGTGATGTTTAGCTGCGCGATCGCTTCCCAAACGAGGTGGCTGAAGAGTTGAGCGAGGGAAAAATTCCGCCCCGTAAATGTCGATTGCAATGACTGCGTCTCAAAAGCCAAGCCCTTCTGTCGTAGTACTTTCAAAGCCGTTGCCGATTTCCAGAAACCTGTAAGAGTGTTACCGCGGCAATTGCCTTAAGACTTTTTTTTGGCGTTTGAAATTTAGCCTCGTTATTCTTAACGAAGGGGGCTCAATCAAGAACTCCCCGCTTCCTGCATTTTCTTGCCAATGAATTAAGATGCTAACATTTGATAGGACTCTCTAAAGATGTTTGTTTGTTTCTGGTCGCTTAACGTTTAGCTGATGCGACCTAGTCTTTGGAAGACCGCTTTGGGGCTGGGTGTATATCATGGGCGAAACCTTCAACAGGGCTCTCACTCCTCTGATGGGGCATAATGATTCGGTGTGCTTCCTTAGGATACGTTTAAAATTCAAAGGACAGTTCTTTAAGTGTTGAGAGATCTGGTTTGTAACATCTGTAAACCTACCAGTCTTAGAAAACTGGATTGTTAGAAATTAGATTTTAATGCTCTTAAAATAAAAAAGCAAATGCTTCCCCTTAAAAATAGGTGATTATTCCTCTAGAGTTGCTAACTCCCTTTGATCTTCCTGCTTTGGAAGCATTCTGGTTAACACACCATGGTGGTGGGCGTGCTGTGGGGTGGGAGCAGCGGTTTATCTAGTGGAATACATTTGCAAGAGTGCTGTGATTAGCAACAGTGTGGTTGCGATGTAAGAAATACTTGTCCATTATAGAGCGACTTCCCTTATTTCTGGCAAAATAGAGCAGGGACAGTTTTTTCTTAGGCACAAGCTACCCATAAGTAGCTGCTGCCACACAGTAGGCTCGTATCTCTAAAATCAGTTGTGCCTGAATTTCATTAACTCCTCTTCAAGGGCAGCGGCCCCATGCACCTATATGTATGTACACCCACAGCACAGATTCAAGGGGACTTCAAAAAAACTTGTGGGGAAATGGAAGGAATTTCTGAAGCCCCTTGGCAGGGGATTGATGGAATCAAGGGGAAGTTGTAGACCAGCCAGGTAGGTGCCGGCTGTCACCTCAGTGTCGCTGTGTCAGGCGACAGAAAGGTGGGAGCAGAAAGCTCTCGTCCTCTGATGGTTGAAGATTCCCCCTGGCCGTGCGGAGCTTTATTTAGAGTCATGCCTTGAGCGCACGCGCAGGAGGACAAGCAGTAGTGCCCGGAAGCCAGTGCCTGCCTCTCGCAATAAAGTGTTCCTCAAGTCAAGTGCTTTATGCTGCAAAGCTCCAGTCTGGGGGGGAGGGGGTCTCTCCTTCCCAGAACCTGTTCTCAGGGTGGGGGGGTTGGCTTCTTGTGCGCCTCACATAGAATGGAGTGGGCATTGGTGACTCAGTAATGGATTGACTTGATAACTCCCGCGTTTCCCTTCAAGCTCTGTGGCTCCTTTTTATTTCTCATGCGGGTGCTACAGTTGTGGACAAAACCAGGTCCCCGGACACCTCCCCAACCCTGTGGAAGGTTTTGACTTGGGTGGAAGCCAACCTGGATTCACAGCACTTGACTCCCCTGTACATGGTGGCCTCCAGGGGCTGAAACACCTGCACCTTTCTCAGTTTGTCGAGAAACTCTTTAATTATGAATGATCTGTCTTCTCACAGCTTGTATTTTCTATAGTTAACATGTAATCAAGGGGGAAATTACCCTTTTCTGTGGAGGCCAGCAGAGGAGGCCTTTTTGTTCTTTAAAGATCTTTTTAAAAAGGGAATGATGTCAGTATTCTCTGAGCGTCAGCAGATTGTGAAGGTGAATGGATTTTTCTGCCTTTGCTGAAACTATTTATGAAGAGACACCAGTTAAGGGAGGCTTCTGGCACCAGCTCCTTTGACGCTGCAGCCCCCTTGGTTTTGTTACTCAAGCATGTCTCAAATAGCACTGCGCAAAGCCCAGCTGTGTCCACCCCTGGTGAACTGCACCTCTCACCCATGACCCCTGCACCGCTTTTGAATCTGTGCTGGCAGCCTGAGGGGACACGTCTTTGGAGAAGCAGGACCACAGCCTGAGGTGGTGTGGCAGACTGAGGCTTTGTGTTTAAAAAAAGCATGTGCAGTGCCAGCCTTGGAGATCTTGTGCTTCTTGACCACCTGGCCTGTATCACAAAGTTCAGTCGACACACTAACAAAGCTGACACCCGAGAGGGTTCGAGAAAGCATTTGGGGAAATGGACTGAAAAGAACACGGACTCTTTCCACAGATGCGCTGAAGCTCCCTCGTATCTCAGGTGGGTCGATGAGGTTAAGACTCTAGTCTGACCAAAGGACTAGAACACAGTTTCTTGTAAACACTAGAAAAGTCAGCCCAGCTCACATGGACCCTGGAGGACCTTCGAGCCGCCCCATAAGGTCTCCGAAGCTGTCAGTCTTCATGGAAGCAAATAGCCATCCTTCCCCCTTGGAACTCCTCAAGGATTGAAACCACCGGCCAAGCACTTCAACCACTGCCCCCCAGGGCTCCGTCCATCAAGGTCCCGGCCTAGGAAACCATGGAGCATCGTTGTTTCATGAGCGAAAGTAGAAGCCACAAAGATTACAGCTCTGAGAACCCACGAGATAGTTCCACACTGTCCTCTGGGCTCTCTGAGGCAGACTGACCGACAGATGACACATGCCGGCGACCCTGGACTAAGATGTGATCCTGGGGCCAGTTAAGCCAAATCAGTGTTTGACCTCTCCAGCTGAGGAAGAAGCGAGAGGCAAGATCAGAATGAATGTACTGGAGTACGCACATTTCCTCAGCACCTTTGTAAAATGGTGCGCTGTCTCACTGGGTAACAGACAAGCCTGTCTCACTCATACTGTGTGTCTGCACACCCCATCAGCCGAATGTGGTGGGGTGATGAGTCACTCGAACAAGTTCTCACACTTGGTTTTGGACAGGTCTGTGGCTTATCGAAACCTTGTGCCTGACGAGAGAGAGGAACGTTCGGTCCTCGCTAACCCAGAAGTAGAGGAGAGTGCTATGAGTATTGATTTCTTCATAAGCAAGGATGGCAGGTGCTGCTATAAATACTGTCATCAGAACAGCATTTATCCAGTAAGGCAACCCGTTAAAAAAGCAAGAGTGTTTAGAGGTTCTAGGGATGATTTTATTTGAATTTTTCCCTTCACTTTTTTCCTCGCGTGGGATGAGAGTTTACAGAGAGCATCAAATCAGTCTTCCATTCAGCAATTCAGACTCATTTTGTTGCATCTCAACCATTGTCATCCCCTCAAAGGACTCACTCACCCCACGTCCTCCCAATGTTTCCATCCCTCCTCCCTTTCTGGCCCTCTGAGCGTTGTCCCTGGGTTGTTGTTAGATGGTAGATGTGGTAGATGATGCTTTCAAGTCGTTTGTTCATTTCGAGACCCGAAGGGTA